TTTGACTGCTAGTTGGCTTTCATTTACTGTATCTTCTTCCAATCACCTTCAAATGAATGGGGAGAGGGAGAAAATCAGTGCAACTGTAGAAAAAATATTTGTGCTCATATCTTTCATATTAAAAGGAATATTAGCTAACTTTGTTGTCTTTAGAAAATAACTTGCCAGTAGTTATTCTCTGTGTATGACAATTGGCGCATCTAGGCAGCTACGATTGTCACTATTGGCTTTCAAACATACCCTCATCCTCTATTCTGTGAATTCATTCTTTCTAGGAGAAGTGACAAACAACCCAACTCCTCCTCAAGGAACATCTTGATTTTAGTTCCAGTGAAGATCCATCCAGTTTTTCATTATTCTGTGCCCTCCATGTCTTCTCCATCCCACATACCCTCTTCTCCCTCCTGTTATAGTTGAGAATGCAGGAAGAATTTGAGATGATGTAATAAATTTTAATTTTTCAACATTGAAGAGGAAAATTAAAATACTTAATTTATTGGAAAAAGCTACCCTGATGCCACGCAAACCTTCTCATGGCAGAAGCAGATAAAAAAACTATAATACACTTAATAATACAGTAAATGTACCCACCCTTTGAGGAAGTCCAGATGAAGAAACAGGCATAGCAACGATTGCTGGAATACTCTTTATTATAATAATGTAGAATAATATATTCTATATACCCAATAACATATTCTGTATACCCAAGTTTCTGTCCCATCTTCTATGAAACAAAATTAAGGCAGGGTTATTTTGAATTTCTTTCTTATGTTTCTGTCTATCTCAGAACCACATATCCTCTTCTTCAAATTCTCTCTGTAAGAGTCTTTCATATTGCCTCCAACATCATCCCAAGGGTGCTTTTTCCAAACGGCAATTGGACTTTCTTGTTTCTTTTTTCTTTGAAAACATTTCATTTCTCATCCAAGAAACTACTTTAGTGAAGTAGTTTCTTGGATGAGAAGCAAAACATTTTCAAAGGAAAAAAAATCAAGAAAGTCTGGTTGGCTTTGGGAAAAAACACTTTTGGGACAACGATGACCTGGATGATTGAGAATCTCTATAGGCATTTGCCTCCAATGTCAGTTCTAAATTCCTTTACAAACACAATTGATAGAATCAGGCTCTTTCTTCTCAGTTTAAGTAGACTTGCAGTGCAACATAGGACTAGTGCTTTTTCAAAATAGCATTAAACCTCAGTTGATATGGAACCTGCATAAGATTTGATATATACTTTAGATAGCGTCAGTGAGTTATTGTACTGACTTGTGCCTCCATGGAAATCAGTCGTGCTCTCTTGTTCAGGTGAAAGCAAAATGAAGGGCAGTCCCAGTGATGGGAGGGAAGAAGATATTCCTTCAGTGGTCTGATGATGTCCACAGCTATTGGTAAAGCCTGACACATTATGTCAGGGGTGTCAAACTGCCAGCCCAAGAGCCAGTTTCATCATACTGAAGCCGCGCCCACCCCATTGCCGGCAATGCAAAAAGAGTCATGATACGTCGCAACACGTTACATGACGTGGCGAGTTTGACACCCGTGCATTATGTCATAGCAAAAAATGCTGGGAGAAAGGGAAAACACTACTGTCAAAATTGAAATATTTAAAGATAACTTTAGGCTATTTCAGGTGTCAGCTGGCAGGGAATAAGATAAAGGCAACATCATGAGGCATAAAAAGGAGGCTACCAAAATGTGAAGATAAGACCTCATGTTGTGCCCCTTGTTAATTCCTTTAGGAACAACATAGTTACAAGATAGCACACAGTAAGAAAGTTACAGCTGAGTCAGTGTCTCAGAATAAAATTGCTATAATCTTGTAGTATGTAACAATATATGAATTATTTTGTGTGGATACCTAAATGAGATAACCGTCTAATTATAGTCCCATGCACCTCCAGAGTTTCTTCTGTGTTATCAGACAAAATACACCTCATGAGAGTAATTTATGTTGGGAGATTTATGCTTCTAAGGTACTGCAAAAGAACAGCAACAAATTCATGAATTTGGATATATTTGGAAGTATGTTTATACTTTACAACCTGAATTTCAAGCTCCTTATAATACTCAATTCTTGTTAAGAATGCATTTATAAATTCATGTAGAGGTTAGCAGAAAGTAATCTGTATGTGTGTATCTGTGTATGTCACTATCTACTCACTGTAAATCACTATCTTTTGACAGATTATCCCACTTTTGAACTATAAAACTGAATATTGGGATACTAACTATGAACCTAGAAGCTAAAAATAATCGTACAATTCATTTAGGTCCCACTCAACATTATGTGTTGTATTCAATCTGTATTCTCTTATTATCAAAAAATTCTTAAGAAAATCTATAATGCCTATTGATTATTGTCTGCTTGTTTTGTTTATAGTTTACTCAAGCACATATAGAGGGCTAATTTGGGAGAAATGTGAGTTATAATTATATAAATAAGTTATTATAGGGTGCAAAAAGTCTCATTATTAGTTCTGCCTCTGATTGCACCAAATAATTATTTGGGTTATAGTCATTAATTCCAAATTCACTACTAGCATTGCTGCTATATGATTTCTCTTTATTGCAATCAGTTTTTCTTTCCTTTTAGAATAAATAATGCAACTGGATAATGTAACTTATTGTATAATGTTCTTTGAATATTGGAGAGTTTATTTTACATTATGTCATTGATGAATAGATATTGTTTGCATCTGCTTTCTGCTGCAGAATGAATTGGAATCTAACAAGCTTTGATCCACAGAACAGACAATTTGGGTTTTTGTTTTTTTGCTAATTCATCATTCTACTGCAGCTCATTCTGTTCTGGAAACTTTCTCAGCCTCAACAACAGATTGTTAGAGAATTGATTGGTGAGAACACTCAATTCTTAGCAGAGCTCTGTTTGTTGAACACTTTACATATATGATAATTTGAGTCTGATTTTAAGCTTTATGCATGAACTTTGCAGAATAATTTGTTTGTAAATTTGCTCTCTTTGTCAAACATTGTTTCTTACAATGATGCAAAATATTCCCAAGGGCATTTCTAATGGAAATTAATAATTTAGTCTCAAATAATTAATAATTTAGTCTCAAATAATAATTCATTATTTCTTTTCAATTAGGTCTGAAAGTGAGTGGTTCTATCCAAGCAGCACCAAGGGAATTTAAACCTTTCAAAACTGGTAAGAAAAGTTTCTTATATAAAAACAAATATAGACAGTGGAGAATTTCTAAATGTCTAATATTGTGAGAAGAGAAAGTTTTCCCTTTATCAAATTCCCCAAATGGTGTCATATAAAGAAAATTAGTAAAGTCCCCAAATGGTGTCATATAGAAAAAAAATGAGTAAAGTCAGGGTTAAAGGACAATGGAGAATCCAAAAACCAGCACGATCCAAGCCTAAGGTTTACAACATAGGGCCATTTAACAAGTAAAATTGAGTTTCATTAGCTAGTCTGCCAAACATTGGGATCTGAAAAGCATGCATTGTTCCAGCAGATGTAGAGCCTCAACTAACAGCTTTAGTCTGGTTTCCAAGTCCCATCAAGCTCTTGCTCTGAGTAAATAGTTCTGTTCTCAAGAAACCCTCTACTTTCTTTTGAAAATCCATTAGTTGCAGAGAGCTATCATTTTACAAGGAGTTTCATTATTGGGCTTTTATATGGAATCTTGTTCACTGAATGGCAATAGGCTAGCAATTCCTATTAATGATTCCATTCTAGAACTGTAAAATGTTCTATTGTCTATCTTAGAATTCATATTTGTCACAGGTGAACCTAGATGCAGGTTCTTCCAAGAGACAGATTCAATGCTGTTTCTCCTGAATGTTGAAGTGTATCACTGTCAGTACTAGAATGAAGAGAATCAATCTATTTCTTTTCTAAGGATTCTAAATCTTTCATGTCTTTATCTGCCAATGTGGTAGATAAAGGCTGTGGTCTAGAAATACAGAGATCCAGATCTGATCCTCCCTTAGCTGCAGAAGCAAGGGCAGGAGTGAATATATAGGTGACTTTGGGCCAGTCACCCTTCTCAGTCCTAGATTGGGAAATATAAAGCCAGTCTCCACTAGACCAACATGGTAGATTACGGTCCACAATCTCCAATAAAGGGGCAATCATTCCTGCAGTGGATGGATTTTGACTGATTATACATATAGTTACAATTAAGCACAATACAAACTTTATCAAAATATAGCATGCACTGTAATATTTTTTTCTTGATAGCCATTTCATTTCATTTCTGTTTATTCTACAGATGTTCTGTATATCCTTGGTTTACCTTGCGTCAAATAAATTTGGTCATAATACACGTCTTTCCATTTTTACATTTTCACCAAATTCAGATGACATTTAAAGCTCGAACATAGTCATTATCAACAACTGGCAATTTGGTTTTTTCCTGGGACTTTGCATAGTAATCGCAAACTACCGCTTTGCAGTGCTTTACAGCCCTCTCATAGCAGTTTACAGAGTCAACATATTGCTCGCAACAATCTGGGTCCTCATTTTATTGACCTTGGAAGGATGGAAGGCTGAGTCAACCTTGAGCTGATCAGGATTGAACTACTGACAGTGAGCAGACTTAGCCTGCAATACTGCATTCTAACCACTGTGTCACCAGGGCTCTATCACATAGTATATTGCATAGTATATGACTAGGAATTCTTACTGATGGAATCTGATAGGGAGTCACTGCAGTCCCTTTGTGCAGTTTTAGAATTCCAGGAATACTTGATGCTTGCTGGGATATGACTAAGTGCTCTTTATTTTTGAAAGAGAGAGAGAGGAGATTGCATTATAGTTTAATCAAATCATGTCTCACAGACTAACTGATGTATTGTGGCATCATAATTTGTAGATAAATGCCATCTTCATCACACATCTAAAATGGATTAATACCAAGTGTGAGGTTGATTCCAAAAGACTTTTTAATTGTCAAATATTACCTTTATTATTTTAAAATGAATTGCATATTGAGGGATTGCTGCTGTAATATTTTGCTTCTGTGAGCATCTAGTACAAAAATAGGCTTTTTAAAATAGCAAATCAGTGCAATCTGAACAGACTGGCTAATAGCAGAACAATGGGTTTACTAATAATAGTAAGAAAGTGTAGGCAGCAACAAGGAAAAGGTAAAATCAGTACAACCCTCAAAGATTCTCTTCATTCCCTTCTCATGCCCTTCCTCCTTGTTTTTAAAAATGAGGAATTATTCAACAGTTAAAAGGACTTTTCTTTAACAGTGCAACTGTCTCAAAGCCAAAGTGAGGAGATGAAAAGGTTTTTTTTAAAAAAAAAAAGACTGAGAGCTCTTCCTTGTGACTACATTAATGTGCATTTCTCTAATCTATGACTTGGAAGAAAAGTAGGCTGCATAAATTGCACTCCCCTGACAGCCAACCTCTTTTCTGTTTCATTGAAAAACTCAGTGGACTAATTGCCATACAGTTTTAATGGAAAACAAAGTAAGGAAAGTGATGAGTGGAGTCTCCAGATTTTTTTTTTCCTCTGCCACACAATGTCACCTGCCAGTAGGAAACTCAGTCATTGATCACTCTTCTTAAACATGAATTCCTTCAAATGGCTAGATTCATAGATTTAGCCCTCTGTAAGAACCTGGCACTGAAATAGTGATACACTGGGTGAAAAGGGACTGCATGATAAAGCAGGATTTCCTACTTCACCAGGCAGCCTCTCAGATCATCTACAGATCAAAGGCCTGGAAAGCCAAGATGGTTTTGACCCATTTAAAGCAATTTCTTTCAAAAATAAACTGATTTGTAAAGATACTCATTTTTCTCACACGTTCTTATAGAGCTAGTTGGTAAATTTCTCAGCTTTCCTGAAACAAAAAGAAATGGAAGAGAGAGCCAGAGACCAGGGAGGAGAAACTTGCTAGCAAAGTACCTAACAGAAATTGGGCAGGTCCTGTCCCTTGATTGTGTCTGCACTGGCACAATTAATTATGTGTTGTGCTCTTCTATCCATGGCAAGACCTGTGCTAGGGGAAAAGAAAAAAATACTATTTTTAAAATGGAGCAACTAAAGACAAATTTAAATTCCTTTAATGGTGGGCTGACCATAAGATGAAGGTAACAAGGTGAGGACATTTCTTTTAAATATTTAGTAATCTTTGTGCCATAGTTAAAGAGATGTGAGGATTAGCTTTTAGTCATCCTTGTAGTTTTATATAAAAATTATACTACATCAGTGTACTGGCAGTGATAATTAGTTCAGTCTAATTAATCATGTTTTAATAGAACAGAAATAAATCATTTCCGCTCACCCTCTTGTTCCCTTTTTTCTTGAATGAGTATCTTGTGGCTAACTCCCCCCCCCCCTCAAAATAAGGGCTTCAAAATTATGGTGTTTCAATGATGCTATTACCTATCAATGCCTTACAGGCAATGGTAAAGTATGCAAATTCACTGTCTGCCAAGAGTGAATGTGTTAAAGAACCTTGTCTTTTTGAGGAAGGAAAAAAGAAGGAATACTGTCACAGGATTCTGCTCATTTTGCTCAAGTCTGAACACTTATAAAACTGCTATTCCAAAACTCAGTAACATTACATGTTAATTGTAGACCATTAATATGTAATTCAAATTTGACCTTACTCAATATTCATTGTACTCTGTCATTGTTCACAGAAAAGAAAGACAAAAAATGTCTAATATAAACTGTACTATGGGAATCTTATTTTCTAATACTTTTATCATGAAAATGATGTTTTTACCTAAATGTAGTTGAGATCCATTCGCAGTTTTCATGTCTAGTTATACTGTTGCATCATTTGATATTATGAATAGTTTTATTTCCTCACAATGTTATTAACAAATTATCTTACATTATAGCTGCTCAAGAATCAAAAACACTTAAAACGAGACCAAGGTCCAGGTAAGTAAGCAAAAATAAAATGTCAATCTGTCAGTATTTATTTTGCTGTTTTTGCAATAAATTGCAATTCTAAAGTAAACCAGGGGATTTAGCTATTACAGTAATTCAGATAATACTTTTGAAGTGGACCTTCAAATACTACACTGAATTTGTCGGACAAGTAATAATTTATTTTTGAATGCCTTTTGACTGATACCTTCTGTGCCTGATAGCTTTGATATAGAAATGCATCACATAAACTGTTTTAGATAAAATTCACACCTCAAAAATAAACATTTCATTTAGTAAATAGCACTTTTCTTTTATTTCTGCAGTTTTAATTACCTAAAAGTTTTTATGATATACTTTATTAGGTAATTGTACTTTCCTGCATTGTTTTATTTTTGTGAAATGCATGGATTTTATTTATTCTACTTACACTAATGGAAACATGTCACAGTAAATATATAAATAATAAAATAAAAACAATGTAGCACTAAATACATTTCTAAACATATACAGTTAAAAGTTCCTTGTGATAATTGTTTGTATACTTTTCACTTTTAAATATGGTCACATCTAATTCTTATCTTCAACAAATGCCATACCTAACTTATTTTTTTTTGTTATCTTAACCTTACAATGAAGCTACAAGTACTATAAGCCTAAAAAAGTTAAACTGTACAAACAAAGTGGATAACTGTCCTTCAGAAAATATTTTCTATTTTTCTTCCTATAGTATTAAGATTAAATAGAGGGAAAAAATAAGTATCAACCAAATAAGATATTCTTTTTTAGGATGATATTTTTATTGTTTCTAAATGACAACCTATGCAATTTTTAACCAGATGTTTTTAATAACTGTCAGAATACAGATATATTTATGGACTAATTTTTGTTCCTTCTCGCATATTTTCAAAAATTAAATCACTATATAAGAATATGTCCACTATATAATTTCACTTCAAAATGTGTGGTTCAAGGTATTTGAAATATGCATGTTTCCAAGAGTAAAGACTGATTTGAAAGCAATAAAAACAAAACAGAATTAACTCTAGCCCCAACTTTTCAAAGGTCAGCTTTATCTGAGTTGCAGTTGCTAAACTCTGCCTTTTTAGAATTCACTTTTGGAAAGGGTCTTCAAAGTGCCTGGAAATATGAACAGCATTTGGATCTAGTTAAGTAGAATCCCCTTCTGCTTCTTTTAATTATTGTTTTTTATTCACTTTTCTTTATTGGATTTTGGTTTTTTGGGTTTTTTAATAATGTGTGATCACCTTTTATTAATATTTATTTTTGTTAAATGCCTCTTGGAATCACATTGGTTGAGAAGTCAGAGGCTTATAAATGTATGAAATAAATATCTGCAACTCCCCAGAGCACCCCACTTTTCCTATGATTTTGCAGCAGCTACAAAGTGTAGTTACATAAATAATCCTTGAAAAAGACATCACTGCTTGATGTCTTCATAGTCATTCATAATCCTACATACTCCAAATTATTTTCTGGTATCAAATACAAAAACTGGCACAGCCTTCTCTGAATACATTGTTCCTCATGTTTTCCTTATTCTTTATATGTATTCCCTGGAAAATTACTACTTTCAATTTAAACAAATTCTTTACCATAGCAGTTTGCCAGATACTAAATTGAGTGTTCTTTTAAAAAATGAGGGTAAGAAGTCAGAGGCAGATGTGCAAGCATCTACAAATGACTATATACTGTATATTCATTTTGTATGTATAAAACATGTATAAAACATGTATCCCAAATGTATCCCCATGTATCTTAAAAACAATATCCTACTTTGGAGTAACAGTACTCCAGGTACTCTGTGGAACAGTCTCATCCTGTTTACTATTATACCAGTCATCCACAAGTACTAGCAACAGAAATCAAGGACAATAAAAAAAGCTTCTTCCAACATACTAACAACAAAAAAAAAAATCAAGGAAACTGTAGGCCCATTAAAGGGAGAAGATGGCAAGGAAATTATAGGCAACAGGGAGAAAGCAGAGCTGCTTAACTCATACTTTGTGTCAGTCTTCAAAAAGAAACTACAGCCCAACATACCAAAAAAACCATTGTAAAAGATGTAACAGAAACAAAAATTAAAATAAGCAAGAAAATAGTAAGGGAGCACCTATCCAACCTTGATGAATATAAATCACCGGGACCTGACAGGCTACATCCCAGAGTTCTGAAAGAGCTGGCAGAAGTTATCTCAGTACCATTGCATCACATCCTCTATAAATCCTGGAGCATCGGGGAAGTATCAGAGGATTGGAAAAGGGCTGATGTGGTCCTCATCTTCAAGAAAGGAAAAAAAAAACAGACCCAAGAAACTATAGACTAATCAGTTTAATACCTGGGAAAATCCTAGAAAAGATTATCAAAAAACAGATCTGCGAACAACTAGAAGCAAACAAAATCATAACTAGTGGCCAACACAGGTTTGTCAAAAATAGATCATGCCAAACCAATCTCATTTCATTCTTCGATAAAGTGACTAAACTAGTAGGCAAGTGAAATTTAGTGGACATAGTATACTTAGACTTCAGTAAGGCATTTGACAAGGTAGACCACAACCTACTCCTTGGTAAACTAAGAAAAGGTGACATAGACAACATCACTACCAGATGGATCTGTAACTGGCTAACAAACCGTACTCAACGAGTAATCCTCAATGGTACTACATCCACATGAAAAGAAGTAAGCAGTGGAGTACCACAAGGTTCCGTCTTAGGCCCAGTACTCTTCAATATTTTCATCAATGACTTAGATGAGTGAATAGAAGGGGAACTCATCAAATTTGCAAATGATGTCAAACCAACAGGAGTAACCAACACCCCAGAAGACAAACAGAGGATTCCAGAAGATCTTGACAAACTTGAACAATGGACCCTATCCAACAAAATGAGTTTCAGTGTGGAGAAAAGCAAAGTTTTACATTTAGGCAGGAAAAATCAAAGGCACAAATACAGATTGGGCGAGACCTGGCTCAAAAACAGTAACCGTGGAGGGACCTCGGAATCCTAGTGGACGATCATTTGACTATGAGCCAGCATTGTGTAGCAGCAACCAAAACTAACACAATCCTGGGTTGTATAAACAGAGGCATAGAATCAAGATCATGAAAAGTACTATTACCGACTTCTGGTTCCAGATTCGGCACATTCAGTCGCACGGAGAGACTTCTCTCTTCGCCGGCTGCTTTCCCTCCACCGGTAGACCCCTAATCGGGTCGACCTGGAGGGGCAACCACTGTTGAGGAGGCGTTTGTCTGACTGAGGAGGGGCGGCAGCTCCCTCTGCAGTCCGAGCTAACTCCATAGGGCTGATGGAGAAGATCGGCCAGTAAAATGGCCAATCACCCAGCCATGCCAGCCGAAAGTCAAAAGAACAGCTAAGTATAAAGAACCACTGTGGTGAATCCGGGTGAGACCTTTTCTTCCCTCTCTTTGCCCTAACTACTTTCCTGTAAAAAGCCTTTGAACTGCTTCCCTATTCTAAGAGAGCGGCATTTGTGTACTTGGGAAAAAGAGCTTAAAAGAAACAAAATAGTTAACTCTTTATCGACCGTGTAACTTTTTGGATATCTAGGGGTCCTGAGGTAACTTGGAAAAAACATTCTACAATCCACTGCGGACATCCTGTGGTGAAAAGTGTCATTGCAATTGTGTTTTTTTTTTTTTTGCTACTTGAAGATGGATTTGATCTTCAAATGACAATAAAAGGGGAAAGATAAAGGACTTGGAACAGCTGGGTGGTGAATTTGTCTACTGGAATTTTGGAGGTGGATATTTGTTGACATTTACTAAATACAGCCTCCATTAAAAGATCAAAAGACTATTTCACCACTGAAATGAAGGAACCTTACCCACAGCTTGACTATGAACTTATACTGGAGAAAATTGTGGAAACTATGGAGTATATGAAAACATATATGAAATCTTGGAGAAAATCTAAAGATGATATTTCAGAACCACAAACTGACTTTCAAATAAAGGATCAAGCTATAGGCCAAAGCACAATAAAGGAAGAACAGAGTAACCCCAAGGAGGCCTCTACTCAACAGGATATATAACCCAAAGAGACGGAGGAATTATACCTACAACTTAATTATGAACTTACATTGGGAGAGATTGTGGAAACTACTGAGCAAATCAATCTTACACAACCCCATATACAATCTATGGAGAATTTTGATGACCAAAGAATAACTCTAATTATGTTACCTGAATTGCTAAAAACAACAGAGACTGACATCCAGATACAAGTTATGGAAAACTGTGATAATGTGGACAATCAACTAGTAATTAAAACACGGAATAAAATTGAGTATACCATTCAGATGACATTGGAAGAAAGGGAAGAGAACTTTGACCAGTCTGAAGTACCAAGAAATACCTTTATTCAAATGTTGAAGTTTGATGATGCAGAAGCTCCAATATGGAAACCGGTTTGGCACAGAAAGAAAGCTAGAGTTAGATTTAAAAAGGTGTTTTAAAATCTTATCTAATGGGTTAAAAAGGCTTTAGACTCGGACTGATTTAATAATAAACGGAGTAGGTGAATTCTATAAAAGGATATTTTTTGTAATAATTTGCATTAAAGATGATAAGTATTTGGAGGGATAAATTTCATTTAATGGGTTAAGAAGACTTTTGATAGATATAGACTGATTGACAGAATATATATTTAAAATAGAAATGTATTTTTATTGATATTTTTATTTTAAGTAAGATAATTATTTTGTAATAGAAGGAGAAGAAGAGGGAATTGTAATAAGAGGAAAAAATGGTATTAATAAATGATTTATTAGATTAAGAAATAGGTTGTATGTGGAAAATATATTTATTGTTATTGGAATAATATATTTATCTTAGATAGAATTATTATGCTAGGGAAAAGGAGAAATGAGGGATACCCGAAATGTTAATAATATGTCTATTTAAGCTCAATTGGAATTCGGTAACTGTAAATGAGCAAAGCTTAAAAATAGGACTTGGATTTTTTACA